TGCTTCCAGGATGAGGCATTCCACTCCCGTACATCTCAGATGTCCTCGTTTTTCAAGGACTGCAACTTCCCCCCCGCTCAGTGGTCGAGAACGCCCTCGACCGTGTCTCCCGCATTTCCCGCAACTCATCCCTCACACCTCCTCCCCGCAATAACAATCAAAACAGAATCCCCCTCATCCTCACGTACCACCCCACCAACCTCCGGATCCAACACATCAGCCTCCGACACTTCCGCCATCTGCAATCCGATCCCACCACCAAAGACATTTTTCCCTCCCCACCCTTATCTGCTTTCCGGATGGACCACTCTCCTCGTGAGTCCCTCATCTGCTCCACACTCCCCTCCAGCCCCACCACAGTGCAGGTACAGGAACAGCTGCACTTCCCAGAATCTAGTCTACTGCATTCACTGCTCACAATGTGGTCTCCTCTACAATCAGGGAAACAAAGTGGAGTCTGGGTCATGCTTTGCATAACATCTACGTTCTGCTCGCAAAAAAGACCCTGACCTTCCAGTTGCCTGCCACTTTAACACACCACTCTGTTCCCTGGCCGCCATCTCTGTCTCAGGCTTGTTACATTGAGCTTTGCTGGAACACTGCAGGTTGGAAGAACAACAAAGTAAAAAAAAAATTACAGAACTGCAGCTGCTGTAAATTTTTTTCCTTCACAAATGCTGCCAGACCTGCTGAGCTTTTCCAGCAACTTTGTTTTTGTTCATGGAAGAACAACACCTCATTTTCTGCTTGGGGACCCTCCAGCCCTCCGGACTCAATATCGAGTTCAATAATTTTAGGGCCTAAACTCTCTCATGTCCTAGGCCCTTATCCCACACACCAGCCTTGTTATCACATAGCCTGCCATTACACACTACCTATTGTTAGTCACTAACAGTCTCCATTAACAACTATTCACCCTCCCGGCCAGATCATTAGCAACTCCTTTGTCTATCCAACTGCTCTTCAGGCTCTATCCTATCGTTTACTCCCTATCCCATCCCCTTCCCTATTTTCTGCATATAAACCAATGTTTTCCCAGCTACCATCAGTTCTGAGGAAGGGTCACTGGACCCAAAATGTTGATTTTTTTTCCTTCACAGATGCTGCCAGACCTGCTGAGCTTTTCCAGCAACTTCTGTTTTTGTTCCCTGTACAAGACACAGGCTTGCATGCAACATTAACTACAATAAAAACCTTTTGGCCTGTTTGTGCTGAACATTTTACATAATTATACAAATTAGTTTCTTTTGCACGGCTTTCCAAGTGGATTGGGAACGCACACCAAGTTTGGGATCAGACCCAAAGTTGACCATGGAGCACGCTGCTCCTGAAGGTCAAATGTCAGATTAACTTCAATAAATAGATTCCCTCAGAAACAGACGTTAATACGAGTATTTATTTCTACAGGAATACGTCATGAAACATGAATCTGTCTGCATTAATTTACATACAGGCACAGCTCAGAGAACTTCTGTGTCTGAACTGGAGTCAGAATAGTCTGCAACAAGGGAACTGGTATTGAGATCTCGATCAGAGTCCACCACTGCCTCAGTCTGTAGGGAAATGTCAGTTTCTCCCCTAAAATCATTAACATCCTCTTCAGTTGTCCTGTCTGGAACATGGTCCTTTTGATCGGTTCTGTTTCTCATTTCCAGACTGGAATCCTTTTCTCTGCTGACCAAGAGCGACTGCTGTTTCTGGCTTTCTGTTTTCCGTCGGATTATTCCAAGATTACTTGCAGCAAATCCGTTTGGGCTGTTTGTGGATTTGGTTGTTGATTTTTTATTCAGGCCCAGTTTTTTCAAGGTCTCACCAGCCTTCTCTCCTACCGTGACTTGCGATGATGCAAACCAGGACCGGGAGGTGATTTCTTTCCTTTTCAATCTTTGCTTGTCCTCGTATGCTATGTTAGAAAATGTGGAACATCAGAATCGCTGCAATTCTCACAAATACATAGAAACAGGTCAGCCCACCTGGCCTAGTGTTTGACAGACATTCAAGCTTCTTTCCATCTATTCTCAGCAAAATCTCTAGTTTAACCCTCTTCAATATTCTCCCTCAAAATGTCAAATTTCTTATTTAGTCCCTTCCAGTGGCGTAGAAGTTACTCCTAAATTTACAATTAGATTTCTTGGTGATACACATCAATGACCTATAAGTTCTGCTCTTCAGTACAAGAGGAAATCTTCTATCTCACCCAAGGGATCATTTCACTTGAGTGTCACTGCTGAGACACATGCATATTCCAGCTTGGAATCACTAGGTAATGAGTGGTTCAAACTGGGTCAATCTTACCGAATCAGGTGACTATTCATCATGTCCCAGTGATGTCCAGCTGAAACCAAACTCAACAAGTTGGGGCTGCTGCATGGGAGTCAGTGCCATCATCATGGATTCTCAGAGGGGAACTCAATTCTCTTTGTATTCAATTCTGACCAAATGCATTTAGCTCTAAGTTCTTAGACTAAGGTCCTCTTTAGCTCCTCTGTCCCTACTGATAGTGACCTTGAACCCCGTGCACCCCCATTATAGAATGCAAAATCAACCGTGGGTGAGGAGTCTCTGGGAAACGCTATTGCACACACCCAGTGTGCTGTCATCACTCCCTTACTATGCTAAGTGAACCTGGTTGCATGGGCTTCAAGGAGCTTTGCTAGGCCCAAGTGAGTCACCCCAACTGTAATTCACCCTCACACACACTGATACCCTCTCTGCTCCAGGCTGGGTGTTGAGAAGCCCCAGTCATTGCCTAACACTTTCCAAGAACACCAGGGGAGTAACTTTACCACTCCCAAGATACTTGCTGAGAGCTTTGCTTCCTACGAACACTTTGAAGTGGAATGGAGCAGTTTTGGTGTTGAGATCAGCTCCTACTCTGCACCATTCTATGTATTAATGTTGATCTTCACCCAACTTACAATCCATTGCCTGGAATTTGAGAAGTGAAGCCAAGTGTTTATCGTCCTCAGATTCCTGAACTAGAGGGATACTGAGAGATGCTTTGTTCCGAAGAGCTTCGTCTTTCTCCTCCACTTCTTTCAACACCTTCTTCTCATCCTAAAGACGGGATAATGAAACTGTTAATTAAGATTCAATATTCATGACAGCATGGGATGGCGAACTAAATGGAAAAGTACATGGGCACCAGGGAATATAGAGATGCCTTTACCAAAGACTTTCTGCCTTGGATTTAATGATTATCTGGAGACCCTTTATCTTATTAATTGTTCAGTGGTTCTGAGAGAGATATATTCCACTTCCACTGGCTGATGTGTACATGTGTGGGAGACAGCACCATGCTAACTCTCTTAAGGAGGGGATGGGAGTGGTGGTGCTGTCTTTGTCTGGGGGAGGAGGACTGGAGAACGAATGGTGCTGGATTCATAGCTTCACAGTATCTGCATCAGACGCACCCGGAATTTCTTGCGCAGCATGCTGTTAATGGCAAAGTCATCTTTCCAGGCACTCTGCATCTCCTGGATATCAGACAGGGTGGGAATGGCAATCTTCAGCTTCTCCTGGTCACTGACTCCATGTTCCAGCTTGTACATTGCATCTGTCTCCAACTTCTTCTTCTCTTCATGCTCTGAAGGGTCAATGATCATTGTGTGATTAAAGAGAAAGCACCACGCAGACCAACTACCAGTCTGAATTCACAAAGACCCATTAAATACCACACTCACCCTCACACACCAACACCTGAGCCACAGAGACCCTCACATCCCCATCAACCCGACCCACACTATCCTGCCTTGCCCAGCACCCCACCCCTCCCAGTCCCGACCGTCATTCTGGCCTCCCCGACACTGCCACTCCTCTGTCCGCATTCCTTGCCCTCCTCAACCAGCCCTCGCCCTCCCCTTTGTCCCAAGCCTTCTCTGCTCCCTCCTGCTGTGTCACTAACCAGTTGTTAATATCTGCTCATTGTCCTTCATGTCCCATCGTTCCTCTTTGCGCCGTGCTCCACTCACTATCACATAATCACAGTTGGCTGGGTCAGTCTGCATCTCGATGTGATTCACACACAAATGGCATTTCATCCGAAACCTGCAACATCCAACACCAGACATAAAGCAGCACTGACAGCGAGTGAGCAAGGAAAACATCCTGCTCCAGGATCAAGAACCCAATGACGCGTGTACGACAGAGAGCAGTGAGGCATCTCTGTACCCAAAAAGGATCCTATCCAAAAATCAGGGAATCCTCCCACCCTCATCATTCTGCCTGCCCTCAGAGTCCTCATGAACAGCCACACAGGGAGAACACGATCATAGCTGGGCACCTAAAGTGCATGACAAAGGGGATAATATGTTCTTCAGAGGAAGAACATACCCTGAACTATATTATTCAAATAGGAGATTCCATTCCAGGAACTGCACCACCCAAACAGGCAGCCAGTGAGTAAGCACAGAACAACTCACGGATCCACTCCATTATCATTGGACTGCCCAGCACAGCAAGACTAACAGGTCGAGAAATAAGGTCAGTTTTTCAAAAAAAATTTATAACAGAAGTGTTATGGGGGGGGGGGGGGGCCTTGAGAATGTAAATCACCTCGAACATGGGAGGGTGCACACTCACAATGCCATTAAGGAAATGGTTCCAGATTTTTGATCCATTGACAGTAAAAGGAATGGTGAGCCTGACTCTGCTGAAGGGAGGGGTGGATTAACCTGTCCCGTTGAGATACAAAAGGAGTGGAGCAAACAAACCCTAACTGAGCTTCAGAGGATGAGGTGAACAGGAGTAGTACCTGTAGATGGGGGTTGTGTAGTAATTCCCAACTTTCTTCTTCTCTGCATTGTACCGGACACCTGGAACGAAGAAAGGACTTTTGTCACCCCATCAACATCTACTCTTTTAAACCCAAAGTAAAGCTATCTCTACACTGTCCCCATCAAACAAGGAGATTACAAACCATGAGGTTTGAAAGACAGTAAAGCTACCTTTACTCTTTTTCAGCCAAATAAAGCATCCTCTGATCTTTTAAACTGAAAGAGAAAGACCCTGTGACACTGTCCCCATCAAACACTCCAAGGACAGGAACAGCATGGGGTCAGATACAGACTGAAGTTCCCTCTACACTGTCCCAGCAAATATTCCAGGGTCAGATACTGCACGATTTAATATAGATTTAAGCTCTCTCTACACTGTCCCTAAACACTCCCAAGACAGGGACAGCACTGGGTTAGATACAGAGTAAAGCTCCTTATTGCTGCAAACAGTCCTGCTTGGATAAAGATTCTGCTGTACGTTTGCAATCTCCCTTCCTCATAGCACCTCCCAAAATAACAAAACAAACTCAAGTGAAGCTAACTACAACTCATTGCAGAGATAGTAGGAACTGCTGATGCTGGAGAATCTGAGATAACAAGGTGTAGAGCTGGATGAACACAGCAGGCCAAGATTTTCTGAAGAAGGGTCTCGACCTGAAACGTCGGCTTTCCTGCTCCTCTGATGCTGCTTGGCCTGCTGTGTTCATCCAGCTCTACACCTTGTTATCTACAACTCATTGCACCTCAGTTCGTTGCTGTGAAGCAGCAGAGATAGCAGTTTTCTCCACTTGGTCTATTATTGGACCCGCAATTGGCTGAAAAGATGAAAGGACAGAATGCTCTAACTCCCCCAGGCCCAATTTCACCTTATTCTGTACATTGTCGCAGACTTACCCATTCCAATGTGCTTCCCACAACCATCACACCAAATGTTATATGGCATTTCAAACCTTTGAGAAAGCAGAAGATTCAGTTACTAGTAAACCATACCTAATAAACCACAATAATATTTGTCACCCTGAAAATTCAGTTCCATTGACTACCAGGTACATCAACTGGCCAGGGCAAGAGCCTGTCCAGCGAATGTGAACACGGCATTCTTCAGGGAATGTGGCCACCATAGCCAAGGTGACCAACCTATGCTCATCCACTACTCGCAGGTCTGGTTGGACAGCAATTGAGGAAGAAAACTTGTTTGAAAGCCCTTTAACTGTGACACATGGCAGACATCTGCATTGAGTGACAGCCAGAGCCAATAGCTCGGAATGAGGAGCAGGAGATCCAGCCCCTCTTATCTCCAAGCTGCAACACATAGAACATCAAACCCGGTAGCAGATATAGAAATCGCAATTAAGCGGCCTTGCTATTACAGATCCAGAACACACGAGAAAACAGAGGAGTTGAAAAGTCAGACTCAGCAGGAGACTCACCGGATAATGAGGATTCCTTGGGAGAGTTTCCGTGCCCTTTCCCGCAGAGGGTGACTGTTCCTGTACTTGTTGAGGGATCCATGCTGTCAGGTTACAAAAATGTCATCCCAGTTCAGAAAAAGCCAGAAAGAAATAGACCAGTTTTAAAGCCAGTGCAGATTGCTTAGCCATTGAAATCCCTCCACCCAACTCCTCCCATCTTTCTCTCTCTCTCTCTCACACAGAATCAAGCCCAGGTTGCTGATATCATTACTCAGTTTTTACAGCACAGAAAGAGGCCTTTTGGCCCATCATGTCCACTTATTCCAATCTCATTCTCCAGCACTAGGCTTTGTACACTATGGCATTTCAAGTGTTCATCTAATTGGTTCTTAAATGTTTTGATGGCTTCTGCCTCTTTTAGGCAGTGAGTTCCAGACACCCACAACCATCTGGGAGAAGGTTTTCCTCAAACTTCCTATCCTGAACTGAAAGCTGTGCCAACTGGTTACTGCCCCTTCCATTAAGGGGAAAAAGATTCTCCCTATCTACATTGTCTGTGCCCCCTCAGGGCTTCATTAACCTCAAACAGTTCCTCCCTCAGTCTTCTCTGCTCTAAGGGAAAAAAACCGCAACCTATCTAGTCTCTGACATGAAACACTCGAGGTTTCACAATGTTAAAAGTACTAAGTAATTGTTAGCTTTTTTGATTAAAGATATTAATGGGACACGGGTGATATTTAACAAGGCAAAATTTATTGCCCATCTAAAACAGCCTTTGAGAACAAGGTGTGAGCTACCTTCTTAAAAAATTGCAGTCTTTGAGGTGTAGATACACCCACAGTGCTGTTAGGGAGGCAGTTCAAGGTTTTTGAGCCAGCAACAGTGAAGGAATGGTAACACAGTTCCAAGTCAGGGTGGCAGGATAGAAGGACAATGACACACAGCTTGCAGCTCTTATTTAGCATTCCAATCACTTCATCTCGAACGCACTGAACTCTTACTTTTGCAGGATCAAAGTCAGGTGGGTAGTACTTGTTCACACCTTTCCGTTCCCCCTGTAGGAGGGAAAAAAAAAATTACACAATGATTAGCCAGGCTTTTTTTGTTTTGAATGCACATCTCTCCATCCTAGAGACACTAACTCTCACTGGATTGCTGATTCTTCAAGGGCAGTGCATCCCAATCCATCACTGATGTGGCCATTCCCCACGAGAGTCCAAGCAATGGAACTGGTAGAAAACTTTAAAATGAAGGTTTAAATGGTCAAAATCCAGCCAATTCTCAACAACAGCTAGGAATCCCAACAGGGTTACCCAACTGCTATCCTTTAGATAAATCATTAGACACATATTAGATGTCAAACTAGGAATCAAACCCAGAGCCTCTGGACCAACTATACCTCAGAACATTGGGAGGACTGTTTGCAAAATGTTATAAAGCTGAGCCTATCACATAGCAAGGCAAATGTCCTTCTAGTCAGCAGGCCTTAACTCCTGCATCAACCCATCTATCAAAGAGTTTATAACTGAGGCATCAACCAGCTGCAATAGCACAGCCTCACCTTCGAGGCTCAGACAGATTTGGAGCGAGTGCTCAGATTGATTTTGCAATGAAAAATGTCAGAGACATGCCACTGACAAAATGTTATAGTGTAATATCTTCCTGAATAATTCAAATTTTAATTACAGTCACAGAGTCATGGAGATGTACAGCATGGAAACAGACCCTTTGATCTGACTCGTCCATGCCTATCCTAAATTGATATCCTAAATTAATCTAGTCCCACTTGCCAGCATATAAATTCAAACCGTTCCTATTCATATACCCATCCAGATGCCTTTTAAATATTGTAATTGTACCAGCCTCCACCACTTCCTCTAGGCTGCTCATTCCATACACACACCACTCTTTGTTTGGAAAAAGTTGCCCCTCAGGTCCCTTTTAAATCTTTTTCCTCTCATCTCAAACCTATGCCCCTCTAGTTTTGGGCTCCTCTACCCTGGGTAAAAGACCTTTGCTATTTACCCTATCCATGTCCCTCATGATTTTATAAACTTCAATAAGGTCACACCTCAGTCTTCGATGCTGTAGGGAAAATGGCCCCAGCCTATTCAGCCTCTCCATATAACTGAAACCATCCAACTCCGGCAACATCTTTGTATATCTTTTCTAAACCCTTTCAAGTTTCACATCGTCTTTCCTATAGAAGGGAGACCAGAGTTGAATGCAGTATTCTAATAGTGTCCTCACCAATGTCCTGTACAGCTGCAACATAGTTTCCCAACTCCTATACTCAGTGCACTGACCAATAAAGTCAAGCATACAAAACATCTTCTTCACCACCCTGTCTATTTGCAACTGCACTTTCAAGGAACTGTGAACCTGCACCCCAACATCTCTTTGTCCAGCAATACTCCCCAGGATCGTACCATTAAGTGTATAAGTCCTGCCCTGATTTGCCTTACCAAAATGCAACATCTCACATTTATCTGAATTAAACTCCATCTGCCACTCCTTGGCCCATTGGCCCTTCTGATCAAGGTCCTGTTGCACTCTGCGATAACCTCCTTCACTGTCTGCCATACCACTAATTTTGATGTCATCTCCAAACTTAGTAACCACACCTGCTATATTCCCATAAAAATAAAATGTATCAAAGAAACATTTCAGATACACATTCAAAAAACAGACTACAATGAATCACAGATTACATTTAAAATACAAATCCAAGCAGCAACTGAATTAATACCTAATTATCCAGAATTAAAGCAAAGGGAAAACTTAGTTTAAAATACAAACAGGACACAAATCTCGAACAGAAGGGTCACACACCCCTTTAGACAGACAACCTTGATGAATTGCCTGTACATAAGTTTTCATTCTCAAAACAAAGCATGACCAGCATACTTACCATGGTTTACTTCTTGAACTTCCTACTCACAGGCAAACCGCTGCTTCCACTCCAATCCAACAGCCTGTGGACAAAAGAAACACACAGTGAGGTTTCCAGCAGTTTGCTCAACTTCATCCTACTGGCTGTGTGCTGTAGGGCTGGGAGTGGGTGGAGGTGTGCATCACAGGAGGGCAGTGAGGATGAGGGGGTGAGAGTGGGGAATACTGATGGGGCAAAGGGGCTTCAGGCAGAAAGATTCTCCGGGGCAGGGTCTAACAAACGCGGGGGAAGCAGCTGAAGGTGAAACCGAGAGAGTTTCTGACCCCCACCCCACTTCCTCCGGGGCTGACAGCCGGCAGAAAAGACAGGTGTTGGGTGGGAAAGATAGAAAGCCACACTACGGCCTAAGGACACTCGACTAGGCCACTGAGAAGCCTCAGAAGACCCAAGGCCCGGTTTCCACAGCAACCCCAAACCGTCCAGCGCAGGCGCCGCCATTTTACCCGCTCCGGACCCCGGGCACACCACGCAGGCGCAATCCCGCCGCGAAGACGTAATACGTTCCTCCCTAGCAACCGGGCAGACCGGGCTCCTAAATTCCCAGAGAGTGTGGTGTCTGCATTCCCTATCCAAATGTCTTTTAAATGGTGTTATCCTTCCTCTGGTAGCTTGTTTCATACACGTATCACCCTTTGCGTGGAAAAAGTTGTCCCTCAGATCCGTTTTAAATCTTTCCCTTCTCACCATAAACCTACGTACGCCCTGAAGTTTTGGAGTCCCCCCCTCCCAGCCCTGGGGAACAGACTTTGGCTATTCATCTTCTGCACTCCCCTCATGATCTTATAAACTTCTATAAGGTCATCCCTTAGCCTCTGCCAGGGGAAAAACGTCCCAGCTAATCCAGCCTCTCCCTATAGCTCAAACCTTCCAGTACTTGCACATTTTTTGCCCTCTTTCCAGTTTATTAACATCTTTCCTATAGCAGGGCAACCAGAATTGTACTCTGTGCTCCAAATAGGGCCAAACCAATGTCTTGTACAGGTGTAACATGTTGTCCCAACTTCTGTACTCAATGTTCTGACCAATGAAGGCAAGCATGCCAAATACCTTCTTCACCAAACTGTCTACCTGTGACGCCACTTTCAATGAACTATGTACCTGCACCCTCAGGTCTCTCTGTTCAATGACACTCCCCAGGGTCCTACGATTAACTGTGTAAGTCCTGTCCTGGTTTGTCTTAGCAGCACCTCGCATTTAACTGAATTAAACTCCATCTGCCACTCCTCAGCCCATTGGTCTAGCTGATCAAGATCTCAAATTACTCTTAGATAATCTTCTTCACTGTCCAATGTACTACCAATTTTGGTGTCATCTGCGGACTTACTAACCATGCTTCCTACATTCTCATTTTAACCCCAGAAGTGAAGATAATGAAGTCAAGGCTGGACAGGGAAGAGTCAGAGATGGACAAGATGAAGGTGAGAGAATGATGAAATTGAAAAGAAATTTGATGAAGTTTCCCAGTTCAGGGCAGAAGCAGAAAATGGCGCTGCTTGAGTCATTACTGTATAGAGTCTTGGAGTCCTGCAGCACAGAGACAGGCCCTATAGCCCTAACTGGTCTATGTTGACAAAAATGTCCATCTATGCTAAGCCCATTTCCCCGCACTTGGCCCATATCCTTCTAAACCTTTCCTATCCATGTATTTGTCCAAATGCCTTTTAAATGTTGTCAAAGTACCTACCTCAACCACTTCCACTGGCAGCTCATTCTATATGCGTATCACCCTCTGTGTAAAAAAGTTGCCCCTCAGGTTCCCATTTATTCTTTTCCCTCTTACCTTAAACTGATGCCCTCTAGGCCTCGATTCCCCAACCCTGGGAAAAAGACTGAGTGCATTCACCCTATCCATGCCTCTCATGATCTTATACATTTCTGTAAGATTCCCCCCTCAGTCTCCTACGCTCTGAAAAAATGTCCTAGTTTTTCCAATCTCTCCCTATAGCTCAGTCCCTTAAATCCTGACAACATTCTTGTAAATTTCTTCTGCAATCTTTCCAGTTTACTAATATCTTTTCTATAGCAAGGTGACCAAAACTGAACACAATACTCCAAGTGCAGCTTCACCAACGTCCTGTAAAACTGCAACATAACTTCCCAACTTCTGTACTCAATGTCCTGACTGATGAAGGCCAATGTGCCAAAAGCCTTCTTTACTGCCCTGTCTACCTGTGACCCAACTTTCAGAGAACCGTGCACCTGGACTCAAAGGTCCCTCTGTTCCACTACACTACTTAAGGCCGTACTATTCACCATGAAACTCCTGCCTGGATTTGACTTTCCAAAATGCAACACCTCACACTTATTTATAGTAAACTCTATTTGCCATTTCTCGGCCCACTTCCCCAGCTGATCAAGATCCTGCTGCAATTTGCGATAATCTTCTTCGCTGTCTACATTACTAACTATTTTAGTGTAATTCGCAAACTTGCTAATCATGCCTTGTGTGTTCTCACCAAATCATTGATATAGATAACAAACAGCAATGGGCTCAGCACCAACCCCTGACGCACACCACTAGTCACAGGCCTCCAGTCCGACAAACATCCTTCCACTATTGAGAGATAGCAAGAACTTCAGATGCTGGAGTCAGAGACAACATAGTGTAGAGCTAGAGGAACACAGCAGGTCCGGCAGCATCATAGGAGCAGGAATGTTGACGTTTCTGAAGAAAGGTCCCAACCTGACATGTCAACTTTCTTGCTCCTCTGGTGCTGCCGGACCTGCTGTGTTCCTCCAGCTCCATACTGTGTTATCCTTCCCTTATTACTCTCTGCTTCCTACCATCAAGCCAACTGTGTATCCAATTTTCCAGCTCTCCCTGGATTCCATGCGACTGAACCTTGCAGAACAGCCTATCACGTGGAACCTTATATGAGGCCCTCCTGAAATCCATATAGACTATGTGTACCGCCCTGACCTCATCAAACTTCCTAGTCAAAGACCTTCATCAAAGAACTCTAACAAATTTGTGAGGCATGATCTCCTACGCAAAAAGCCATGCTGACTATTCCTAATCAAACCCTGTATATCTTATCCCTCAGAATCTTTTCAAGAAATTTGCTACCACAGATGTTAGACTTACTGCTCTATAGTTCCCAGGTTTTTCTTTCTAGCCCTTGAATAAGCGCACAACATTCGCCACCCTTCAGTCTTCCGGGACTTTACCTGTGGCTAACAATGATGCAAATAAATCAGCCAGGGCACCCGCAATTTCTTCTCTAGCCTCTTGCAGGGTTCTTGGATATATGTGGTAAGAGCCAGGAGATTTATGCACCTTCATACATTGTAATATGTCCAACACCACCTCTACTGTGATTGTCCCCGGGATATCACCAGTAACTTCCCCAAGTTCCCAAGTCTTCGTATTTTTCTGCACAGTAAACACAGAGGAGAAATATTCATTGAGGACCTCGCCCATCTCCTATGGTTCCAGACATACATGAACAAAAACAGAAGTTGCTGGAAAAGCTCAGCAGGTCTGGCAGCATCTGTGAAGAAAAAAATCAGAGTTAATGTTTCAGGTCCAATGACTCTTGCTCAGAACTGGAACCCGGAACGTTAACTCTGATTTTTTTCTTCACAGATGCTGCCAGACCTGATGAACTTTTCCAGCAACTTTGTTTTTGTTCCTGGTTTACGGCATCCGCAGTTCTTTTGGTTTTTCTTTCCGTTTCCCCACATACATGTGCATTTTGAGATAACAAGGTGTAGAGCTGGATGAACACAGCAGGCCGAGCAGGAAAGCTGACATTTCGGGTCTGGACCCTTCTTCAGCTCTACACCTTGTTATCTCAGATTCTGCAGCATCGGCAGTTCCTACTATCTCGTGCATTCTGATCCTTGAGGCGTCCTACTCTCACTCTAGTTATTCTTTTTCATTTAATATACTTTGGATTCTCCCTAATCTTCTCAGCTAAAGCTATCTCGTGTCCCCTTTTTGGCCTCCTGATTTCCTTCTTCAGTAAACACCTGTATCCCCAATATACCTCCAGGGATTCCCTTGATCCCAGCTGCCTGTACCTGAGCCATGCCTCCTCCTTTTTTCTGGTCAAAGCCTCAATATCTCTTGCTATCCAGGATTCCCTACTCCTGCCAACCTTGCCCTTCACCCTCACAGGAACATAAAGATCTTGACCTATCACACTTCTAAAGGCCTCCCACTTGCCTGAGATCCGTTTTGCCTGCAAACAAACTACTCCAACCAACACCTGCAAGCTCATGTCTAATTCCATCAAAATTCGCCTTGCCCCAATTTAGAACTCAAACCAGTGGACCAGCTTTGTCCTTCTCCAGAACTAGTTTAAAATTAATAGAACTGTGGTAACTGGTCCCAAAGTGCTCCCCCGCTGTCACCTCAGCCACCTGCCCTGTCCTATTTCCCAACAGTAGGTCGGGTTTTGCCTTTTGCTGAGTAGGACTTCTCTCTGCTGCTTGAGGAAATTTTCCTGAACATATTTAACCAAATTCTACCTGATCTAAGCCCTTAACACTATGGCAGTCCCAGTCTATGTGAGGAAATTAAAATCCCCTACTATGACAACCCTGTTGCTCCTGTAAGTCTCCCCAGTCTCCCTGCATATTTGTTCCTCTAATTCCTGTTGACTATTTGGGGGGCCTATTGTACAACCCCAATCACGTCATGATCCCACAAAGCCTCACTAGATGATCCCTCAGTTATTTCATCTCTGACTACTGCTGTGATACTCCCCTTAATCAAATATGTAAACCCCTCCCCTCTTTCCTCCCCTTTGACCCACCTAAAATACCTGTACCCTGGCACATTAAGCTGCCAGCCCTGTCCCTCCCTTAGCCATGTTTCTGTAATGGCTATAATATCCCAGCCCCACGTACCTGTCCACACCCTGAGTTCATCGGCCTTACCTGTCAGCCCTCTTGCATTGAAATAGATACAATCTAATCCAAGTGGCATTCCTTGCTCTCTATCGTATTCCAGCCTGACCTGTCCCTTCAGGTTGTTGCCATTTCTGAATACTGTATCTCCTTCCAGCCTTGCACTTACCTCCCTGCCAATCCAGTTTAAACCCTCCCTTGTAGCACTAGCAAATCTGCCCTCCAGGATATTCATACCCCTCCAGTTCAGGTGCAATCCATCCCTCCTGAATGGGTCACCTCTGCCCCAGAGAAGATCCCAATGATCTAAGAATCTGAATCCCTGCCCGTTGCATCAATTCTTTAGCCACGCATTCATCTGCCATTTTGTCCTGTACTTACCCTCACTGGCATGTGGCACTGGAAGTAATCTGGAGATTACCACCGTCGAGGTCCTGGTTCTTAACTTTTTTCCTAGCTTTCTATAATCCCTCCAGAGGACCTCATCCCTATTCCTATCTATGTCATTTGTGACAACGTGCACAGTGACTTCTGGCTGCTCACCCTCCCCCTTGAGAATGTTCTGCAGCTGCTCTGAATATCC